TGTAACATTTATAGATTCCTTGATAAATCATGCTCAATAATTAAAAAAAAGACTCAATCTATTATACTAAGTTCCAAACATTTGTTTCAAATTATATACATAATCCAAATAATTGACATTCTCAAATCTCGGGGATTGCTCTATAAAATATGTTGATTGATAAACCCTTTAAAAATACACTTTTCATATAATGTGCAATAGTTCAAAGTTCTTATTGCAAACATAAGCAAGAATTAATCTAAAAATCTTTATTCTTGTAACTTTGTTATAGTTTTGGATGATTCTTCAAAATGTATCGCTTCTACCTGTAAGTAATCTTATATAACCCGAGTCATCTAACTAATCACTAAAGATCCCTTTTAATTTAGTTAGTTGTTGATGTTGGGGTCTAAAATTATTTCTCAAATATCATTCATGGAATGTTAATGCAATTTATCTTGTATAACAACAATTCAAAAATCATTTTTTGATGATTTATCAATACTATTTAGCACTTTCTTCGAAATGAATGTTGAATGGTTTGTCTCTATCTTGTTTTCTAGGTCTAATGCCTACAAATTAAGATAGATCTCCTGTGATTAAATTTCGTTCAAAACTTAGGATATTTCCATTCTTTTGGCAAAACATCATTTTTAACTTCCAAACATATACATTTAATTTCAATAATGTCATCTTTTCCAATATATTTTTTATGTTTTCATTAAAATATCACTTTTACTAGTTTTACAATCATTTTCTCTTGATGACAACTCTATAAGATATGTAGGAATTAAAATATCCAAGAAATATTTCATTCATTCACTATAAAATTTTTTAATAATCTTTTTCATTTTTTTATTTAATATATTACATTTTCATCCACAAAAATGTAAAGGCCAATCTTCTATTTCTTTCATCTAAACAATTCATGTGAAGTTTCTTCAAAATAGTTCTCAAATTAACCTATCAATAACATGCTTAATTGTATTTATTGTCTCAACCCAAGATATTTTGATAAATCATATTTATCCAGTATTGATCTTACTATTTTTAGTAATGATTTATTTTTCATGTTTTCATTTATTTCTTTTTTTATTTTTAAAGGAGTCAC